TAATGAAAGATAAATGAATAAAATAATATAAATAAACAAATAAATTATATAAAAAGCCAAGTAAGCATTATTGTTTAATTTGTATGGAGGGATTGCTGAAATAAATTATAGAGGTGATATGACACATTTTTGCTTTAGGTTTTTGAATTTTGTCTAAGTAAAGATTTAGAAGATTGATCTCCTGTTTAATATCAGACCATAACCGAAAAACGGAATAAGTTTCCGTCTTTCGTTTTGGTTTTCTGGAAAAAAAAAAAAAAATGCCTGAAGGTACACAGAGCTTAATCCCAGTCGACCAGTTTAACCAGTCCACATCAGTCAGGACCAGCGGTCCATGTACCTTCAGGCAATTCACTTTTTTTTCCGGAAAACCAAAACAAAAAACTACTTCCGTTTTTCCATTTCAAATTAAAACCAGAAAAACGGAAATCAAAGCCGTTTTTTTTCAACACAAAAACCAGAATAACTAAATGAACAAAAACGGTCCGCTTTTAATTGTTATGGTTCGTTCTTTGTTTTTTCATTTCAAAACAAAAACAAAAAAACAAAACAAGCATGTGGTTTTTCTGTTTTTCCATTTTTAAAACCTAAATCGAAAAAATGAAAAATCGAGTTAATAGAAAATGAACAGTGTTTGAGTTTTGCCATCTAAATGAAAATAAGATACGGTTTTAATATGTAGCGGTACCGGAAATGAAGTCGCCAAAGAAAACTCATTTACAGTGGAGGAAGACGGCATCAAAACAAACCATTTCTAAACAAAAGACAGTGGCTGCACTTCAAACATGTTCTGCATTGATTATTTTTGAAAGAGGAAAAACAGACTCTGAAGTGGAATATTAAAGACGTCTTGTTGATGGTCAGATTATTAGTTTTCAATAAAATGCACCGATTCTTTCTAAATAACACAAACGTTTCCATTTCGGTAGTGCTAACTGAAAAAGTTCTCCTTCTTGTGGATTTTAACGGCGGTTGGAAAGAAATTGATGGTGTACATTACTGCCACCTACTGGTAACTAAAAAAGTTATGTGTTGGGAGTTCAGGTCTTCATTTCCAGTTCTGCCATAAGGTCCGTTTTATTAACAACAAAATAAAAGTTTGTCTCTGGTTTAACCATTGCAAATAAAAAAATCCCAGAACGTACCTTTTTTTTCATTTTTGCAAATGCCGTTTTTCTAATTTCGTTTTTAAAACGGAAAAACAGAAAAACCACATGCTTGTTTTGTTTTGAAACGAAAAACCAAAGAACGAACCATATGGATTGTTTTTCGATTTCCCCGATTCTTTTTCCATTTTGTTTTTAGGGTTGAAAGACGAAGACGGTTCCACGGATGGCCCGGAAGGGCAGGAAAATATTTAAAAATAAAAGCCAATAATGCAAGACTGAGGAAAAAAATTATGAAGCGGAGAGATGTTTTTTGAATAAAACTTTTTACGTTACAAAATGATAGTTCATTGTAGA